AATGAATGAATGGAATCCCAAAATCTCTGTAGATGTTCATTGAAATGAAAAATAAACAACCTAAATTTAAAAAAACAAACAAACAAACAAAAAAACTTTACAAATCATTCTATCTCCCCAATAAGTTAATCAAGTAAATTGAAAACTCCAAAGACTTACTGTAGCCTTAAATACTTTATCCAAGTTTACATCTTCATTGCTCCATATTCTCAAGACCTTAAATCAAAACATACAAGTTAAATAGTATCCCAGTCATCATTTAAACATGTAACAAACATGAAGTTAATAAACTGGCATTTCACTTATGGGTTATATACACAAAGTAGAGGAACCTGGTGGTGATGTCCAAACATCTAAACAAAAGATGGGTGGCTTGAACCCATCAACCACTCCATGGGAGAAGGATGAAGCAGGCTGCTCTCGTAACAAATTTAGTTTTGGCTCTCTTGTGCTATCTTGGTCCTGTAGGATTGCGGTAAGTGTGAATCTACCCAATGCGGTGACTTCAGTTTGACTTTTGGTATTGGTACGCAGAGTGTGCTGCTCTCCGCTTACTGTCAGGTGTGCAACTGATTGACTCATACCCAATTCATTCATGTGACAGAGTAGAATTGCTTATAAGGTTTTGCTTTTGTAAGCTAAAATATTTTATGTATTTTTGAAGAAAGCTTACACAGCAGATGTGGTTTGGAGCTAATATTATCTACACATTTTTCCAGTGACAATGGTTATTATTCAGAGGGTGTCAACTTTCTAATTATTTCTGTTCTGGTTATTTTTGTGGAATCTAATTTCTCTGCCCTCCTTGCCTTATCTTTGGTTTTGAGTAAATGCTGACCAGTTGGTCTTACAGAGACACTCACAGCACAAAGAGATGGTTCATAGCATTTTATAGAACGAAGTCTTTTGGGGAGCAGATTTTGGGACCAGATCTTTTTCCCAAGGAGCCACCAGATAGGTTCAAACTGTTAGCCTTTCACTAGTGGCCAAGCAGTGAGCCACCTGGGCTCCTCATTCTTCATTTAAATAGATAATAAACTGAAACAACTAATAAACCTGGATTTTATTTGTATGCTGCATACCTTATTATTCAAAGGCATTAAAACTTACCTTGTGATCATGGACTATAACATACTCTCCAGTTTGAAAGTTGCACACAGCTGGACATGTTATAATTTGACCTTGCTTCACCGACCAGCTCCCCAAGGGTTTCTGATCCGAAACCTAATGAAATTTAAGAGCAACATTAAAAATTTAGAAAGTCAATTTCATACATTAAAAACTACGATGTTTATAATCAAGACAATAATTTAAAAAGATGGTGTTTAGCATTTTCTAAATTAAAAAAAATCATTAGTGAAATGAAAATAGCAGATAAATGAAAAAAAACCTTTAAAAGTATTTCCATTTTTCCTTTGAATAAAAAAATAAGCACCAGTCTTCTGAACAAGTAACACCACTAGGAACATGGGAAATTTGGTAGCAAAAGCGAGGATCACATTAATTTCAATTAGCCTTTGTTCCCTTACCCTGGAACTGTGAAACTACAAATTCCCTTGACAGTTCAGGTAAAAGCTGACATTATCGTTTAATCAGTAAAGTCATAGTACAGGGAACTGATTAAGCTCAAGGAACTGAAGAACAAATTCAAACCTCGAGTTGCTATAATCAAGGATGCTTTCGGCAGAATGTTAAATGATCCCGGAAGTATTAAAAGAAGATGGAAGGAATATACTGAGTCACTGTATCGAAAGGAATTGGAAGACACAGAAGAATTTCATGAAACAACATATGAGCAAGAGCCTATGGTGATGAAAGAAGAAGTTCAGGCTGCTTTGAAGGAAATGGCAAAAAATAAGGCTCCAGGAATAGATGGTATACCAATTGACATATTTCAGTTAACAGATGCTGCCCTGGACGTGCTCACCAAGTTGTGCCAAGAAATCTGGAGAACGACCACTTGGCCAACTGACTGGAAGAGATCGATATTTGTTCCTATCCCAAAGAAAGGTGACCCAACAGAATGTAGAAACTACAGAACAATCTCACTGATTTCACATGCAAGCAAGATTTTACTGAAAATTATCCAAAAACGACTGGAACAGCACATCAACAGAGAACTACCAGAAGTCCAGGCTGGTTTCAGAAGGGGTCGTGGTACTAGAGATATTGTAGCTGATGTTAGATGGATCTTGGCTGAAAGCAGGGAATACCAGAGGAATGTCTATCTGTGTCTCATTGACTATGCAAAGGCATTTGACTGTGTAGATCATAACAAACTGTGGCTGACTCTGAGAAGAATGGGAATCCCAGAACACTTGATCATTCTAATGCAAAACTTATACTTGGACCAGGAGGCTGCCGTCAGAACAGAGCAAGGGAACACTGCATGGTTCAAAATTGGGAAGGGCGTACGCCAGGGATGCATCCTATCTCCACACCTTTTCAACCTATCTGCAGAACAGATTATCCGGGAGGCGGGGCTCTATGAGGAGAAATGTGGGGTCAAGATTGGTCAACAATCTGCGTTATGCGGATGACACAACCCTGCTTGCTGAAACTGAGGAGGACCTGAAGCACCTGCTGCAGAGTGTCAAGGACTGCAGCCTGCAATATGGATTGAGGCTCAATATCAAGAAGACAAAGATTCTCACCACTGGACCAATTGGCAGCATCAGGATGGATGGTGAAGAGATTTGAGATTGTACACAGCTTTAGTTTGCTTGGCTCCATAGTCAACAGTCTTGGCACCAGCAGCCAGGAAATTAAAAGGTGCATTGCCATGGGAAAGTCTGCTGTTAGGGACCTCTCCAAAGTGCTGAAGAGCAATGGTATCTCTTTGTAGACTAAGGTGCGTCTGATACAGGCCATGGTCTTCGCAATCACCTGTTATGCATCAGAGAGTTGGACAACAACCAAGGAGGATAGAAGGAGAATTGATGCCTTTGAGCTGTGGTGCTGGAGAAGAGTATTGAGAATACCATGGACTGCTAGGAAAACAAACAGATTTGTCCTAGAAAGGGTTAAACTGGGTGGCTCCTTGGAGGCAAGGATTCTGAGGCTCCGTCTAACATACTTTGGACATGTTGTGAGGAGAGACCGGTCCTTAGAGAGGGACATCATGCTTGGGAGGGTGGAGAGACAGCACAAGAGGTGAAGGCCCTCTATGAGGTGGATTGATTCAGTGACTGCGATAATTGGGATGGGAGTGTCAGAGACAGTGCGACTGGCACAGGACAGAGCGGAGTTTAGGGCTGTTGTACATAGGGTCGCTATGAGTCGCAGGCGACTCGACGGCACATAACAACAACAACACAACAACAAGTAGCTTTTTAAAGATAAAGAGAAATGCTTCGTATACAGAGGACTAGCAGAGCTGGTTAAGAGTATGCCCTGGAGACAGATGCCCTAGGACTCAACTCCTGACGCATCATTTGAGAACCAGAGTTGCAAGCTGATAGGTCAGGCTGACATTCTCATGACTTGTTAAAATAAACACCCCAAAAACATTTTCCCCTAAAGAGAGGGAAGAGAAGTACATGTTTTTGGAGTCAGGGGTCCATGGAGTCTGTTCTGATGCTTAGCAATCCAACCTGTAACAGAAGGAATCACTGTCTGGTCCTGCCTTGAACCCATGGTTACAGGCTCTGACTGAGCCCACCTCTCTGACGATCCTCCTCTTCCACTGACCCTCTTCAATATAAGGGACGATCGCCTTCTCCAGAGCTTAGTACCTCCTTGTAGCATGACCCAAGTAGGTGAGACAAAGCTTCTCGGGCAGATTTTGACAAAACAAAACGTTGTTGTTGTTATGGACCACTGAGTACTCGCAGCTACACTGGGTTTTCTGAAGCTGTAACTCACATGGGAGGAGATGGCTTATCTTTCTCCCGCTGACCAATCAATCAACTGCTTGCCTTCGGGGTGGCAGCACGAGAGAGCCCCTTCTTCCAAACAGCTGAATCCAATCTTCTGGCTGTGCAGGGCCGACTCAATGTTCTTTGCCAAAACCATGCACCAATAAGCCACACTATTTTTCTGTCTTCCTTATTAGCTGCCCAGTTTTCACATGCATACGAGACGACTGTCTACGGACTGGATCAGACGCATAAAGTGACATGTAGGATTCTGTTAAGATTCCTTTCTGGGGATTCTGTCAGCCAGTCAAGGGTCAAGATAAGATTGGGTCACAGTTTCCACCCTGTCAGTGTCATTTCCTTCCATCCAGTCCCTTCAGTGAGAGACTGCGGGTCGACAGGCTTTCTCGAAGGGACCCTCAGCAAGGCCGTATTGGGAAGATCCAGGTGAAGGCATCGGCTTCCTTCCCCAGGTCAGCCCACGTGCCTTCGGATGCTCTGCTCGCGGCCGCTCGGAAACACGATTCTCTACCGAGTCAGGTTCTAGACCTCATCCACCGCCCCAGAGAGACCAGGCTGGCTCTCTGCGAAGCTTGCTCTACGAGCTCTTTCCAAAGTTTGAGAGACATCGAAGCCTGCGGCTCCGTACGGCGAAAGGAGCGAGGTGGCAAGAATGACATTCCCACTGGATCGCGCCTACCTTATAGAGGATGACGGTCCTGGCACTGTCTGTCACCAGAAACTGGTCTGTTTTGTCGCTCTGTTCCACGCCTAGGAGCCCGTCAGGCCCGGCGCCCAAAGGAACCCCAAACAACGTGAATTCCTCCTCCAGGGCTGCCATCTTGGGGCTGCACGTCCTTCCCGTCAGACTTCGCGCTTTCTCTCGCGAGAGTGAGCAGCCCTGAAGAAGAAGACACTTGACAACCTCGAAAGAGCTTCTCTGCGGCGGCGACCCCTGGAGGCTGGAGGGGGCGTGTGATGCCTTGCGTCAGTGGGCGGGGAAAGGGCGGGATGTACGAGGGCTTTTTTGATCCGAGACTCCGCCTCTCCAGGCCGCGCGTCACTTATGTGCTCCTTTCTGATTGGAGGAAGTGATTGTGTTTTGTTCTTAAGACTTTATAAGGGTTACTGTGCTGTCGCTTGTGTCTCAGTTTGTGTTGGCGTTGAAATAACGCAGACAGTCTCTCGGCGGAGCGGAGAAGCAGGCGGAGCGGAGAAGCAGGCGGACCGGACGGCTGGAGCTGCAGCCGGTGGCGGCAGCGTCTGCGCAGGGAGCGGCGGTCGGTGGTTTCCCTCCTTCGCTAACGCCCCTCAGACCCTACAAGGGTCGTGCCTTGCTTCCCCCCCACCCCAGAGGCGATTCTCGAGGTTTTTAACCCCGAAAGGAGTCCCCTCTCCTCCGGCTCCTCTCTCCGCTTCCCTCCTTACTCCGTCAGGTTTCGATTTGAAATTTTTGTCCCAATCGTGCGGAGGCTCGGGTCGCCCTTCCAGGTGTTTTGGTTTCGTTTTTCTTCTTTTTTTAAATTTTGGTTTCCTTTTTAATCTTGTTTTCTCGGGGTGTCCCCCCCCCTTCTTGTTTGTGTTGTGTGTGGAAATGGCGAACTCGGCAAACATCGTGCTTAAATTATATAGATCTGTGATTGAAGATGTTATTAATGATGTGAGAGACATATTTCTGGATGAAGGAGTAGATGAACAAGTCTTGAAGGAATTAAAAACGTTATGGGAGAATAAGCTAATGCTGTCCAGGGCAGTAGATAGATTTCATTCAGAAGAGCAGCAGCAAGCTCAGCCACAGCAGACAGTCCCACAGCAAAGGCAGACCCAGAAGGTCCTTATTCCTGCATCACAACAAGCTGCAGCACAGCAAGTTCTTGTTCCTAATTCAAAAATCATACAACACATGAATGCATCAAACATGAGTGCTGCTGCTATGGCTGCTACCTTGGCCCTCCCTGCAGGTGTGTCTCCTGTTCAACAACTACTAACAAATACAGGCCAGCTTTTTCAGGTGGTCAGAGCAGCCAACGGTGCCCAGTACATTTTGAAGTCGCAACAGCCAGTGGTTCTCCAACAGCGGGTTATACCGCAGATGCAGCCTGGTGGGGTACAGGCTCCTGTTATACAACAGGTATTGGCACCTCCTCCTGGAGGAATTTCCCCACAGGCAGGTGTCATCATTCAGCCCCAGCAAATCTTACATACTGGAAATAAGACTCAAGTTATACCTACAACAGTGGCAGCACCCACGCCAGCACAAGCACAGATAACAGCAGCTGGGCAACTGCAGCCACAGGCTCCGTTAGTGTTACAAGTTGACGGAACAGGAGATACATCCTCAGAAGAAGATGAAGACGAAGAAGAAGATGACGATGAAGAGGAAGACAAGGAGAAAGACAGAGCCGAAGATGGGCAAGTGGAAGAGGACCCACTTAATAGTGAAGATGATGTGAGTGATGAGGAGGGTCAGGAACCCTTTGATACAGACAATGTGGTTGTGTGCCTGTTTGATAAGATACACAGAAGTAAAAACAAGTGGAAATTTCACCTCAAGGATGTCATTATGAATCTTAATGGAAGAGATTATATATTTTCCAAAGCCACTGGAGATGCAGAATGGTGAAGAAGTGCTTTTTTTTTTCTTTTCTAAGTAAAACAGACTTTAAAAAAAAAAAAAAAGAAATACCGCAGACAAAATGCTGGAGTGAGACAGCGAGCCATTCTCCAACCCTTTAGCCCCAGATGGCCATGATGTGGATGATCCTCATTCCTTCCACCAATCAAAACTCACCAATGAAGACTTCAGGAAACTTCTCTTGACCCCAAGGGCTGCACCCACTTCTGCACCACCTTCTAAATCACGTCACCATGAGATGCCAAGAGAATACAATGAGGATGAAGACCCAGCTGCACGAAGGAGGAAAAAGAAAAGTTATTATGCCAAGCTACGCCAACAAGAAATTGAACGAGAGCGAGAATTAGCTGAGAAATACCGGGACCGTGCCAAAGAACGGCGAGATGGTGTGAACAAAGATTATGAGGAAACAGAACTGATCAGTACTACAGCTAACTACAGGGCTGTGGGTCCCACTGCCGAGGCGGATAAATCAGCTGCAGAGAAGAGAAGACAACTGATTCAAGAGTCCGAATTCTTGGGTGGTGATATGGAGCACCAGACGCTTTAAAGAAACCAGACGCTTTAAAGAAACCAGTGGCAAGGCAGAGCTTGATCGCCAATGGAAGAAGATTAGTGCAATCATTGAGAAGAGGAAGAAGATGGAAGCTGATGGAGTTGAAGTTAAAAGACCAAAATATTAATCTCCTGTTCCAACTCCAGGAACAATCTCCACCAGGACATACTTCCCACTTTTTTCTTGTCCTCCCTTCAGAGCCCTTGGGGGATCAAGAAAGCCACTTTTTTTTTTTTAAGAAAGCCACTTGTATGGGTTAAATAAAAGCACTTTCAGAAAAAAATTA